AGGGGTCAAGCTCGCAGACGATGTTGACAGGCAGGTGTCATGCTTTGAAGGTCGACCCAGACGTGTGAAATCCAGAAAGGTCTAGTCTGTTATGTCTCCAGCGTCTGCGGTTGGTCACTTGATGGTTGAGAGAGAGTCTACGTCATGTACATACATGTATATGACCATGTATGTACATGTACAGTGCCCTTCATCATACACCGTGTAGTCTACACACGGCACAGAGCACCAAGCATCGTTCGTTGTAACTAATGTAACTAATGTAGTTTCATGCCCATAGGCAATCATCAGACAACTAACTGTGCCGTGTGTAAGATAGCTCTATTCGAACCGTTCGGACCGAATATTACGGAGGATTAGCAAGACGAAATTCGCGTTCGCGTTCGCAAACATTTTTCAGTTCGCGAACTGGATTGCGAACTTTCGCACTTTTCGTTCGGAAAAGTAGTCGGAACACGAATCGTGGATTCGTGTCAGGGCAGTCATAAATTTACCACGCTGTACTGCCCACGTCGTGTCAACATCATGCATGTGCGAATTCTGTTTGCTAATCCTTCTCATAACGCGAATTCCGTCACTGAGTTCGACTTTCTTTGGAGAGCGAACGCGAACGCGAATTTCGTCTTGCTAATCCTCCGTATTGAGCACTCTACCGTATCGAGCCGGAGGACTCTCATTTGTACTTTGTAGATCTACACACGGGTCCGTGTAGTCATGTAGACTCTACATTGTACTAGTAGATGTGCCGACACGGACTCTGGCTTCCTGTGCCGTTACAAATCTGAAAATCTTGATTTCAAACAGCAGGAGTAGAGCGTGAGTTGTGCTGTGCTGCCGTGTAGGCAACCGACCTCAGCCTGCTCAGGCTACTGTACCTGTTGTTTGGTTGACAGTATGTTCATGATGTTATAAACAACATGTCTTTAACCAACCAGGCTACCCGTTCATCTTATTATCAACCACCACACCACACCACACCACACCGTGGTAACGCGGACGTGCAAACTTTACTTTACTTTACACCACACCGTTGCGCGCTCCGGCCGACCTCAACAGTCAACACGTTGCCACAGCACACCATCACGGCATCAGCAAAACGACACTTCAGTTGGTACTCTGCTCCTTCAGACAGCAGCTGTTTCGATCATCAGGATCTCGTCAGTGAAGGTTGATAATGTAGCATGGCTAACAGATAGTGAACTTCACCCTTTTGTAGCAAAAAGGGGAAACATGTAATCGCCTCACGCTTCCTGTTGAGTGTTGTTTTGCGGGAAGGAACCAGAGTCAGTCCATGCAGGGACTGGGTAGGTTAGCTGGTGAGTGGTGGTTGGAAGCAGGCACCAAGCTGAAGCATTTCATGTTTGCTCATCATGGCCATACATTATACAATGTCCAGAAATGCACGTGTAAGTTACCAAACGGCAGAAATTAGTTGCCAAAAGTTCATTTTCTTTGGTCATAACTATGAGAGGCAAACGTGTAAATGTATGACGACGTTAGCATTGATAATAATCACAATAATAGTGCCAGGTACTAGGTGGAAAGGACTAAAGATGAAGCCTAGCCATACACGTCTGTAACGGAACTGTCGGTCCGCTAGCGTGTCTCTAGACTAAAGTGAGAGCCGGGGCCCGACGTTATTCGGTACTGATGGTGTAGTGGCCGCCGCTACCACAACTACTTCGAGCTCTCTCGAGCAGAGTATATCTACACTAAGTCTTGTAGTGCGAGGTATTTTGGTCACACAACCGCACACACATGCCTCACAATCCACACTACACTACACGGCACTCGGCAGCATCACACTTCACAGGAACTACCTAGCCATGCTTGGCTTGGCACTAAACATGTTTGGATGGCAGTACTACTAGAAGCGCATCGCGGTGAGCATGGTGAGAGCTGGAGCTTGGCGGCTAGCTAGCGCTACCCTTCCCGGTATTGGCCAAAGACATTACTCATTAGTACAGTACTCAGTAGGAACTAAAATTTAGTTCCTACTGAATCTACCATGCCTACTGTGGCCAATATCGGGAAGCTGTCTCCCTCCCAATTCCGTAGACTGCACAATAAACTGTAGACGAAAATTTATACCAACTGCATTGTACATGTACGGTATAAGTGACGTTAGTTACATCAACTATTAGCCCTTACTTCTCTTTGTGTGCCTCTTGTCACCTTCAAAAGGCTTGTGTGGACAAAATACCAGGCCACTGAAGATTGTATACAATGTACAATTGTATTGACGAAGATCACTGTGTTGCTTTTGCCCGTAAAAGAGGCTGTACGAAGGAGAAAGAGCTCTGTAAAATGTACAATGATGTCGTTGCATGGTGAACACCACCAACCAACTCCCACCAAGACTGCAAGAGTGCACAACGGTCAACCCCCACTCGTACTCCCCTGTCGTGTAGGCTGTAGTCTTGCTGCTATTATTTTGATGTACATTGTACATGTACATGTTACGAATGTATGTGTTTATACCTCACTCCATATACACTTACAGTCTTAGGCATGCTCTCCCTTAGTGGTGTATATATCTCCATATACACCGCTAAGGGAAATTAGCAGTAGTTGTCAGCGAGGAACAAGCCATTAGGAGGTCACACACGGTGAATATGGAGAGGTATAAATATATTATAACAAAGGAACCTCGTGTATATCGAGATATATACACCAGTTATAAAAACCTCGGCTTCGCCTCGGTTTTCATACTGGTGTATATATATCTCTATATACACTCGGTTCCTTGTTATAATATAATTATACATATACAATTAAAAAAATACAATGATATGTGCTAGTACAATGTACATGTACATGTACACGTGTAGTTGAAATGACGAAGTAACTACTTAGTTTACTGGGTAGTGCCTACTAGTGGAGGGGTATCCGTGACTGGGCCAGGACTCAGGAGTACCAGGCAGAAGGAGGTGAAACTCATGGTGTGTGTGTGTGTGTGTGTGTGTGCGCGCGGCGCGCGCGCATGTGTGTGTGTGTGTGTCATGTCAACATAAGCATTGCTCATGGATGATTCATAGTGATTTAGCGGGAATGCAGATTGTAACAATAATAATACATGTATTCGTTATTAGTATCACTGTCAGTATGGAGTGTCTCAACAGTCGTACCACAAAAGGGTTTATGCGACGCCCTGGTCTATGGCTATGGTATACTATGCATGGTTACTTTTTTGTTGGCATTTTTACAACAGGACCTAGCGCCTAGACGGCTAGAGCCAAAGACTAAGTAAAAGATTCTGAAGACTCGAGTCGAGTGTTGGCGGTAGGACATACCGGTACATGACTGTATACATGTGCATGTGCATGGTACCATACACATGATACAGTAAACACGTAACTCCCCGGCGATGCTAACACACAGTAACAGTAACACTGGAGTGGTCACTGCCAAACCAAGCCGAGCTAGCTACCTAATGTCCTTGTCCTTGCTCCAAACATGTCATGCGATGGGTGCCAGCCTCCCAACTACCCAAGTCCCTATCTCCACTGAACCAGCTACTGAGTACAGTACTAGTACAGTGTAGTGCCTTGCCGGGCGAGGAGCACTACTTATTGTAATAACTATGTCTTTCATGTTTTACTTGTACTAGTTTTTATAAGACATGCTTTTTATATCCCGGTTCAAATAAAAAACAGGCCCAGTTAAAAAAATAATACTTTAAAAAAAAACATGACTCATGTGCCTGTACTGACTGTCCATGGTCCTAGACTGTGTGCATGTGACTTGTTGAGTCTTGCCTTGCCTTGAGAAAGAGAGTCATAGTTTTACTTTTAGTTTACTCGACCTCCCAGTCCCAGTCCCCAGATTCCCACAATTTCCCAGGATCTAGGAGTAGGATATTCTAGGATGCACAGCTAGCAGCGAGCGTGCAGTGCATGCACCATGATTTACGAGCGTAGTGTGCAGACATGTGCGCGCAGAGCTGTTTTGAATGCATGCATACCACTACTAGTACTACAACTCCAACACCATGAACACCGATTCCCAGCTACAAAACTCTACTCGTGCAGACGTAGAGTCTACGTACGTGTCGAGTGCAGTGGTGAGCTGTCGCTATGAATGACCTGTACTACTGATGATTATGACTATGAGTGTTTCAGTATGCGTAGGCGCTGGCAGTCCGTAGCTCGTAGATCTAGCTAAAACGACCTTACGTTCATCATGCTGCATGACATGCATGCATCATCAGATTCTAACGAGTCATCTACAGTACATGCCACATGGCATTATGGTAGTGCACTACAGTCTACATGTATCAAGCGCAGCAGCAGATCTGTCTACAAAACTACTACCTGAGTAGACCCGATCGACGCAACACTCCAGCGACTCGATCGTTCGTGGCCGTGGAGCCGCTGCATCCATGATCCAGCTTGCCAGCGCTAGCAGTAGCATGTCGACATCCATGACAAGCGCGTGGCTTTGGACAACGCTGCAGTGCTGCCTAGCTAGCTAGATGACGGACGCGCCACGCGCCAGATCAAGCTGTTCACGACACGTAGATCTACGAGTCTCCTGTGACTTGCGAATCATCATGATCATGTAGCGAGTAGGCCTCCGCGGAATATGCTCGTATTTTTACCGATAATTCCTTTGAGCATTGCTCAAAATTACGTCCGATAATTCCCGTAATTCCACCAATAATTCTCACAATAATGCTTTTTTTCCTCCCTTTTTTGCAGATACCGTACCGCTTACGGGTTTTTTTGCCACTTGTCCGGGCAAAAAAATCATGGTTCGCGTGAAACTCGGCTGGAAGCTTTTTTTTCTTTCTCTTTTGAAATACCGGGCGATCAACTCATTCAGGATCACAAGCTTTTTGGTACAAATCAGGGTGTTAAAATGGAAAAAATTGAAAAAAGGGGGGCATTGCTCAAATTTTACCGATTATTCCACAAAAATTGCCAATAATTCCCGTTTTAAAAATCACACCGATAATTCCCGAAATTATGCCGGCATATTCCGCGGAGGCCTAGTAGCGAGAGAAATAATCCCAGATCACGACTTTGAGTTCGGTTCACCAGCACTCTGCACGACTTTCTGTAATGGATGTCGTAAAACCTGAGCATGAGGAATGACAACCTGCTACGGACCAGTTAGTTTGGGATATCGATGATCGTTCACTAGCGACTAGTAACCTATGTCCATTGTGCTAGCGCTCTTTGCAGCTAGCCGTGCTCTTCGCTCCATAGCCCCGCTCAAGTGCGATTGGGTTTGTCCCGACTCCCGTGTGGGTGACGACGGTGACGCCTAGATTTTATTTGTCGTGCGACAGTCAGGCGTATCGATTTTCTCACTTTTCTTCTTGTGCTGAATGAGAAAGGAGCTGAGTTGCCATTTTGTACTTTAGGATAGTATCTGTTAGGCTAGTATTTCTGATGTGTGCCGTTCAGGCGGATGAGGAGGCTTTGGTGTTGGCTACGTTCGGTTCGCGGCATGCGGACGATTGAGCGATACCTTCTCCTGTTTATAGTGGTCTGCGTATTCGTCGTAGTCTTGCTATCCTGGGGAACGGAGCCAGTTTCATTGGAGTCTGCTGGTGCTGGTCCGTCTGGCGTTGTCGACCAGTCGCATGGAGCATTCTTTGATCCGCCTGGAGCGCAGGCGAGATTTCCTGGCTCGAGGAACTTCTTGTCCAACTATGAGTGGTCTCAGGAAGCTGCTTCGTTCGCCCTGGCGGGTCAGGATGGCTCGGCAAGACGCCATTGCTCAATGAGAGACTGTTTCGACTTCTCGCGGTGTCATGGACGTCCATTCAGGGTCTACGTGTACCCGAATTCAGCCGATCCTGCCGGTAAAAAACAGTCGGCGGTGTTCGCACAAATCTTGGAAATCATTCGCACGTCGCGTTTCTACACCTCTCGACCGGAGGAAGCGTGTATATTTATACCGTCCCTGGACACTATCGACCGCGACAAGAGGAGTGACAACTTTGTCCAGTCTGTTTCTCAGTTGCTGAATGCTCTGCCGCTGTGGAATGGTGGAAAGAACCACGTCTTGTTCAACTTGTTCTCCGGTGAGTGGTGCCGTATGACTATGGTCTATGCGTGGCTAGAGTATGCTGCTTTTTTGATCGCTGTGCACCGGTGATTTGTTTCGGATTTGAGCAGATCTGCAATGGTGCGTGGCATGTATTATTGTGACCTAGTATTGCAGTAATGGCAATGGGCCACATCATGACACCACATAACCATAAACCATGATCATGATGATAACGGTACGGAGCCTATGGGGGTATTGAAATATAGCACATTGAGTCGCTGTTGTATCTACTGTGACACACTAACAAACATGTTTGTGTGAGTTCTGTACTTGGTTCTCCAAACTAATAACTACACATAGATCTACTTCTACTTAGAAAAAGTATCATGCTTGGAGCAAACCGACTAGAGGAGTAGTGGAGCAAACTGCTTGGAATTGAATTTACTTGGGGTGTCTGGGTGTAGCCGATGGGAGGTAGCTCAGTTGAAATCAACCTGGTGGGGCTATCTTCTGCATAGGTAGATTTTCAGGTGAAAGGGCAGGGGAATGATCCCAGTACTGCCAGAGCCAGAGATGGTGCAACACTTACAAGGGGAACAATGGTTGCTGGTGTCATTCCACTGTGCAGAAACTGAATTAGTTCTGCCCTACTGGGTGAAGTAACTGCCTTGTGCACACTGCACTGTCTGTGCCACCCACGAAATCTAATACTTCACTTCCTCTGTTGCCAACCTGCATTCCTACCTGTTCAGTCTTGCCTATTTTTGTCTTCCTTTCTTGATTGTATTGTACTTTACCTGTATGGTGTGGAGGGAGGGACTGTTTGGACAGAAACAGTGGCAGAATCTACACTTTTGGAATATCAAAATAGTTTTGTAAGGTAGCAATCCCAATCAAGTGTTACTAGTAGTTGGAGAACTTGCTTTCTTTTGTGCTGCCGGGATCCCACCAGGATCAAGTGTACATGTATTGCAGAGCGTGGGTGAGTAGGGTTACATTCAGGTAGTACCTTTTGCGTGGGAAATGGTGTCCCAGTCATTTCTCTGCTGCGCGCGCCTCATTATGTCACAGTCTCGGGCTGCTCAAGGAGCACTTGTAATCATTAGGTCTGTGAGGCTGAAGTCTTGATGGCCAAGATGACAAAGACGGTACTGGACTGGTGTATGGCAGCCTGGCAGGCAGTGACAGTAAGGCATGCGCTGTTCATGTGCTTGCTCTCCAATGGGTGTTGGTGGGTGTATTTTTTGAAGTAAGTTGTGAGTGGTATTTCACTCCTTTGTTAGCCGGTGATTAGGGGATTACTTGCTGTGAAGCTGTGACTGTGCGTGTCTGTGTGTGACTGGGCCATATGGTAATAATGTGACAGAACGAGGTACATGATTTCTACACACCGAACACACAGGGTAATGCAGGGTCCAGGAACTGTGGAAAAATAAATGAATGCATGGCAAAAGAATGTTGCTGCACTTCACATTATCCTATTGACAAGATTGCTGGCATGGGGGTCTTCCTGGTGGAAGTGCTTTCATAGTTGACCACTTGCAGTGGATGTGGAAATCTAGTCCACGTTGCACCAGTTCAAAGTGGCCAGGGTTTGTTTATCCTGGCGTTAATCTGGTCCTAGCCTAGTGCATACAGCCAGTGGGTGTGCTGCTGGCAAGTAGTTTGATTGATATTGGCAGCCAATGTACACTTGCATGGCTTTGCTGAATCAGGCCCGGGTCCCTGGTTGTGAGTGAGTCAGTGTCCAGAACGAGCCGACAGCTCTACCAATGTACAACAGCATTGGGCAGGTAGAGATAGGGATGTAAGGATGTACCGGCCACCGGTCGTGACTTGCACTGATAACGCGTGTATCTTTTGTGAAACTCCCGGCCAGAGTGTCTTTGCCCATATCCCTTATTGGTTTATAACGCCAATGGGCATTATAACGGGGTATTGCAAACCCCAGATTGCCCTGTCAGCTAGAAAAAATGGAGCTTTCTTTCGCCAGTGACAGCTAGACCTGCAATTAAAAATGTTCTGCTAATGTCACGTGTCTAGAATGAGGTCTTCCTGCTTCAACTACTAGTATCCTGGAAGACGAAAATTAATATTGGATTGCGTTCTAAAGTAGGAGTTTGTGCTGATGCGATATTAATAACAATGTGTGTGCTGTTTGCATGTGTAGTACATGTATGTGTAGTATGTGTAGGGTATAGGGTATAGGGTCTGTCACAGGTGTGTTGTGTGCAGGGCAGTCTGTAGTCGTCTGTACACATACAGTACTGTGACTGTTTCTAATCTGCTCCTCCTGTCCACGGCGTCATGCACCAGTGCACTAATGGCATGCTCACACTGCATGCCTGCTGAATTGTTTGCACCTGTCAGTGTCACTGTTTCTCTGTGTACTACTGGTGCATGTGAGTATAGAAGCTGCCAAGTCCTAAAAAGACTCATGCAGAGTGCACGGAAGCATATGACCATGTTGCATGCATGGACAACTTGTCTGCTGTTTCTTTTTACACATTTGTAAGCACTTTCCTGTCTGGAATACATGGGAAAGAGGTTAAAACTAGCGCTTTCAGCTTGTGTGGTGGGACAGTGTTCTGGCTGGGCTTCCTGACAAAAAAATAATTTAATTTCCTTCTCCCCGTGTGTTGTCTGTTTGTTGCAGGTACGTGGCCTGACTATCAGGAGTCGCTCGGGTTCGACACGGGCCACGCGATGCTGGCCAAGGCCTCGATACACCGCGACAACTTCCGCACGGGTTTCGACATCAGCATTCCGCTCTTCCTGAAGGAGCATCCGATGCGCCGCAGCCAGTCGACCGTGTTTGAACGCCGTGGCTCGTTGTACCCGGTGCACCGCCGCTACCTGGTCTCGTTCAAGGGCAAGCGTTACCTCAGTGGTATAGGCACAGAGGTGCGCAATGCCGTGCATCACCTTCATAATGGCAATGATGTCATCATGCTGACGACGTGCAAGCATGGCAAGAGCTGGCAGCGGGTTGCCGACGAGCGCTGCGCAGTGGACAATGCTCTCTACGACAAGTAAGTTTGGTGTTTGCACCTACCGTGTGCGGCGTGGGGTGTGCCGAAATGATGCCGTGTTGTTTGCTCTGCCTTGACACCACATGGTGGAAGGTGAAATAGAATTCGACGTGTTACCATCCGGGGCGTATCTCTACAGTGTGTACGGTGGTATGCTACCAAGAGAACTCCTCCGAGTGTTCACCTGGTGATGTCATGACTCGTTTTCATAACTACGTCACTTTCATGGTGCCATCCACTCTATGCGTGCATTCAAGATACAAGGTCGACTGTGCTCGATGCGATCTTGAGAACAGCCAAGCACTTGGATTACACTGCGAGAAATGAAAAATGCCGTAAATATGAAAACAAGTTTATCACCGCGAAACTACCAAAGTCTTTCCAAATCCTAAAACCAGTCTGGAACATCAACTTTGTTTCTAGTGAATATAGCGAATATAAGTGGAATCGTGAAGCGAGCACAAAGCCAATGGCGTGGAGAATTTCCCCTAAACTAGAAGACCTTACCGAAACTCGCAATGAACTGCACGTCTATGTTATTGAAATGCACCATACCCCGAATCGCTGTTCGCACTCCGAGGGCAAGTCCGCATGTTGGGGTCCACGTCGTGTGTGTCAGTATAGAATGGTTTCACATCAGTTTGTCATGTGACTAAACTTGTCTAGAAAGTGATCATGGCGTGTGGACGGTGGAACCAACATGGCCTACATCATGTGACCCATAGATGCAGGGGTTGAGTGGAGTTGGAGCCAACATGTCTGTCCTGTATTATGATAGATGTGAAAACACTCTATAGCAGTGTCCGCTCCTTTTTCGGTGTGAGTTGTGTTCAACCGTTGCAATATGTGTGTGTGTCATGTACCTTTGTTACTTTTGTGTTTGAAGATACGACTACCATGACTTACTGGAGAATAGCACGTTTTGTTTGGTACCTCGCGGTCGCCGTCTTGGTTCCTTCCGCTTTCTGGAGACACTGTTTGCTGCATGCATACCGGTCAGTATGAGCAACGGCTATGTACTGCCGTTTGACGAGGTTCTGGACTGGAAGCGTGCAGCGTCGGACATTGACGAGCGGCGTATTCTTGAGGTAGGGACGACAGGCACTGGTGAATCGTTTCTGTCTAATTGTGGAGACCAGTCTTGGCCTAGCTGATCAGTCGTGTACAGTGATCATGTGGCCGTTCGCAGCAGCTTTGATAATGCACTGCATAGGTGTGTCGTGTGTGCATGGCAGTATTGTCCCTGTTGACTTTCACAAAGAACATTGTATTTAGTGATACAGGGGCTGTGTGTCTCTGGATAGTGTCACCGTGTTGCTCTATGCCATGTCTTGGCCAGGAAATCATGATTTTTACCTGTAAACAACATACAGTCACATTAGCTTTGGTTTCTACTTTGAGTGGAGTAGTAGCGGAAGAACCACACGGCACGCGCGCGTACAAATACGTTGTAAATGTACGAAACTGGTCGTAATGGTGAGAATAGTGCTCAGGCAACTGTCTACTTCTGTGTGTTTGGCCTGTTTGTAAGTAGTTGTGGACATGGATGATACAATTGTGTTTCTTTCTCGTCCCTACAGCTTCCCAGCATCCTTCGCTTTGCTTCCACCGAGGCCGTGGTCCAGTTGAGACAGCAGGGGCAGTTCCTTGCTGATTCCTATTTCAGCTCCATTGAAAAGATTGTCATGACGACGCTGGAGGTGAGTGAGTAGTAGCAGCAACTTAATTCAAGTCATTTGTGTCGAAAGAAAACACGGAGCCAACCCATTGTATTCACACTTCACAGCCTTTATTTCTGAAATGCTATGGAATGACTGCTGGATCATGGGCTAGACATGTGTGTAAAGTGCTGATCCCTGAAATCTGATCCTGTGAATCAAGTCCGCGCCCTGCACTCCAGTGCACAGCACTGGGTTCGCAAGGATGGGGCTAACAGTTACACAGCGCCCGATGTGCACTCAGCTCACACGATTGTGTTTTATTTAGCGGTCTTGTACAAGAGTATCTGCGATATCTGCACAATCCAATTTCTTGAAATTGGAAAGTCACCCCATCGATTGATTTCTGCGTTAGCGTTTGGTCTCTCTTTCGTGGATAAAGTCTTGACCTGTGCGGTATTTATATTTGTTGTTGCTGACTTTCCACTGCCCAGATCCTACGCGATCGTGTGAACCCGCAAAGCAAGCGTGGCTACGTCATGTGGAACAGTCCACCTGGTGGACTGCTGTCCCTGCCCACGTTTGCCGAGCAGCTTCACAAGTACCCGTTCTACACGTCCGTGTTACGCGTCACACCGAACGAGAATTACACCGCAGTAATCCTGGCGCATACGCCCATCAGAAACTCTGCTTCGCCAATTATCAGGCTCCTGAAACAGCTGGCATCGACACCTACATTGGAAAAGGTGAGTCGGCTACATGTCTGGCATCTGGTAGGGGTGATGATTATTAACCATGTTAAATGCAGACTGCGATCCAACACATCCTTTTTGTGCTGATAATCAGCTGTTTGGGCCGGTAAAGTACGGAAGTGAGTTGACCGTGTGCCAGCTTGATTCCACCCTGCTGTTTTGCTATTGCGTTGTGGGCTTACCTGGGGCAGACCAAGCACGGCGAACACTGTAGCTGCCACTGATTGAAGTTAGTTTTCAGGTGTGATGTGTGATAAATGTCCGCATGCTGACCATGCCTCTGACATCACCCATCCTTGTTCCTGTGCTATGAATATGATAGTGATCAGCACAAGTGGCACAGTGTAATGTGTTAGTGATCTTGGCATACACTAGTAGTAGTAGTAGTAGTAGTAGTATTCTTTTATTTTCCATTGGAAGCCTCAACAGTGATGAACACAACTCTCAAGAGGGCCGATAACAGAGTAGAGGGGTGTGGGGTGAGAAAAATAATAATAAGAGATGTCTAAACTAAACTAAACTGATACTTGGAACAACGAGAGAGCTTGGAAGCTCAGGGCCCTGCGCTATGCTTTTTTGCCTTGATGACCTAGACAAAAAAAAACATAGGGATGTTTTCTTTAAAAAAATCCTTTTTTTTAAACCTGGGATTCGAACCCGCACTATCGCGCGCCCTGCATGCAGCCCCCGATACACTTCGCATACATACTAATTCTTCCAAGTTGTTTCACATTGTGATCTTGCATTTGAAAGCCCTATTTGAATATGCATTGTTGCCAGCCATCTTTGATGGCACGGTACGGTAGGGAATAGGTACGGGACAGGTACGATCGAGGGTATTACGACACCGTCTAGCTACCCGCAATATTCAAATAGGGCTTTCAAACGCAAGATTAACGTGAAGCAACTTGGAAGAATGGGTATGAATGCGAAGTGTATGGGGGAATGCATGTAGGGCGATAGTGCGGGTTCGAATCCCAGGATATGCCTGAAAAAAAAGGAGAATTGAAAAATTTATAACATCCTATGCTTTTTTGCCGTCAGATACGGATAGCGCCAGGCGTGACACAAACAAACAAACAAACAAACACACAAACAAACAAATACCAAATTAAAGCTGTGTGGACCCTGGCTAGCGCCAGACGTTACTGAAGTAACGTCTTCTGCATAGCTACGGGAATAAAGCAGCAGTAAGCAGTAAGCAGTAAACACAGGTATACAATACAAGCGATGCAGATCAATGAGGCCGTTTGCTGAAAAGATAGTAGACTGTATGACTTGTACAGTAAGGAGGAAGAGGATTGCTGAGCAGCTACATGTTGTACACACCGTAGCCACATTGTTAGTTATTGCCATGCCACAAGCTTGACAGATCTCACTTTCCCAAACTCTGCAGACACGACCCAAGACCCATGGTTATGATTGCTGACACCTGAGAAGCCCTGGGTCCATCTGTGGATATCTGAGAAGCCCTGGGTCCATCTGTGGATATGCCTTTTTCTTAATCCTTGCGTGACACATCTTGTAAACCGTCTCAAGTGGGCAATCCTGTTGAAACTAGGTTTGGGGGCACCACTCAAATAATTGACAGGTACAGAGTTTAATGAAACCTCATCAAGAGAGACAGTTTAGGAATGCGAACGTTAACAGCATCCACACCAGCTTCACAATAACACAAAATGATGTTGAGACACGCCTTTGTTCGGAATGGCCCCCATTAGGCCCATTTGTCATCCTCTTGGCAGTCTATTAATTTTACTTTTGCCTAACTTGAAAGTCTGTGTGTGTCTGTGTGTGTGTGTGTCTGTGTCTGTGTGTATGTGTATGTGTGTGTGTATGTGCACGTGCATTATGAATTAGGTAATTGTGGTGTGGACTGGCAACGTTCCTCCTCCCAAGACCAGAAAGTGGCCCAAGATGAGTCAGCCTATTGAAGTTGTCACCGTGCCAGATGGCCAGCGGGTAAGTTTCTCGCTAATGACCATTTCTACAAGGTGGAGTTATTTAGTGAATTCCTGTGGGCATTCCTCTGCTGCAGCTTACAGTAGCTGATAGCTCTCATCTGTGGTGCAATACCTACAGCACATTATGATGTTATAATTATTATGGCTTTGGAAAATGTTGCAACGGTGGTCATACTCCGCTCATATTAGCGAGTTTCTGGAGCTGAGCTGACCAGTACATGTGTGGCAAACAACAATAGCTATGTTGTATGTTGTAATTGAACTGCACTGTGCTGAGTGTTTCACAATGACCAGTACTTACGGTAGGTTTGGACATGGACTGTCGTTGTGAAGTACTACCACTTCTGCCAAGTTGTCCCATTTACCCGACCCTGTCTGAATAGTACCCATCTGATTTCGGTAGAAACCCCAACGATTGTACTGTACGTGTGTGTGTAATAGTATAATGGTGAGGATTACTACATCCCTGTCACCTTATCACGCTATGGAAAGTTGACCATTTATTGGGCGTCAGGAAAATGTATGATTTTGAGTGAGAACTGTGTGGCAGAATTGTATCACGTGTATTCTATTTCATCTACATGTACAGTGACAACCCTGCGGCCATTTTCGTGTGCCAATGATATATTCTTTGACTTTGTGTTCTGTGCATTTCTAGAACGGAGTCAGTCGATTTATTAGCGACAAAAGGATAAACACAGATGCCATCCTATCGCTTGAGGAGGATACTCGGCTAAATGTGGACGAGGTAAGAGAGAGAGAGAGAGAGAGAGAGAGAGAGAGAGAGAGAGAGAGAGAGAGAGAGAGAGAGAGAGAGAGAGAGAGAGAGAGAGAATACATACATCTGGGATTCTAGGGATTCAATGCGATGCTGCGTGACTATTTTTCTTGTCCTTAAGTAGACATTTTGTTTCAACACAATGAGAATTTCTCCTCTTTGGCTTTTCAGCAAACGGCAATGTGTACTGAGAGGCCTGTGATTCAAGAAGGACAATGATTTTTTAAACACGAAGTTCAATGAAGTACTGAGTGAATTTTTCTGCAGCACACGATGGCGCATACTGGATATGCTCATGTTCTGCCCTTCTTTGATTGTGTTGTCGCTGACTAGGTCAATTTTGCATTCCGCATATGGCTGGATTTCCCTGACCGCATTGTGGGCTACCTAGCACGCAGTCATGGCTGGGATGCTGATAAAGAGGAGTGGCTGTATCAGCCTGGACTGGGCAACCAGTACTCCATGGTACTGCTCAACGGTGCCTTCTATCACAAGTAAGCACATGGAGCTCTAAGTACAGGGAATGGTGGTGGACGGGACCGTCTACCATCAAAAATATCTGAACATGGTGTCGGACAGACAACGTACTCCAACCCCAAAGTAGAATATTTGGAAAAGCACCTGCAAGGTTCCTCCAACAGCACTTTACATTTGATCGCAATAGAAAATGTCATATCCACACATGTAGGCTATGCACAGGATGATTCTTGACTGCAGGTCAGAGTGATCAACGAGAGTATTTGCCATGTGTGTGTGTGGGGGGGGGGGGGGGGGGGAGAAGGGGGCGCAGGGGAGCAGTTGTGTACTATAATAGATAAGTGGTAGCGACGTTTTTTTAAAAGCTTTGATGGTGCACTTGGACATTGTCTGTTGTGAGCAATATGGATTGCACGAGAAAACCTGAAGAGATACATCACCCTGTGTGATCCCTGTCTAGCATGTGGACAAAAATGTCACGGTTCGCTGGAGACTCCTTACCTGAGTGTTCAGCATCCGTAGGAAAGCCACCACCCTGCAAAGAAGATCTAAGGCGCAGATGCAACTCCTAAAGGGGTGGGAGCACGTGAAGAGTAGTACTAATCGGTGCGTCTTTGTGTGTGTTATTGTGTGTACAGGTACTACCATCATATGGTGCATGAGTTTCTCCCGCCATCGGTGAAATCCGTTCTGAGCAAAGCACCATCGTGCGCCGACATAGCGTTTAACTTCCTCGTCTCCTACGTCACTAAGCACCCGCCGATCAAAGTGGCGCAGAAATTTGGCATCCGCAACGAACAGCCCGCGCTGTTTCCTCAGGCGACCCCAACGCCGATCGGTGCAACGTACTTCAACGATCCATCAGTACCCGAGACGCCGGTGTCATTAGTGTATGCACAGCGCCAGAACTGCATCCGCTCGTTTGTGCCAGCGTTTGGCAGGATGCCGCTGTCACACTCACAGGTATGTACTGTCTTGTACAGCTCTCTATTCAGTGTGCTGCTGCGGTACTCACTCAAGACCAGCATGCGTACAGATAGGGATATGGACACCTTACTGGTTACCTATCCACGCACGCACACACGCGCACGCACACACATACACAATGTGGGCAAGTAACGAGCCACTGACACATTACCAGGGTTCAGTTTCAGCCCAAATGATCTAATCAACATACTGCCTTTGTAGAACTCTACAGTCTGCACCTACTTGACGGTCGGTCGGGCTAAAACTGATGACTACTCCCCTGACATATTCATGTTTGCACGATACCTGGAAGAAGAGGGTGCTGGCTAAAACCGACTACATGTCGCTGCAGCAGTACATCTCACTCAAACTACTCATGGTATAATTATTCCAACAGATAACTGCTAGTCGGGGGTGGGAACTGAATAAAGAAGTGCAGCCCTAGATGTGTAGCCGTAGTCTTAGTAGTAGTAGTACACTGTGGTAAACTCTTGCTAGACAATTGTAGTGATAGGGATATGGACACAGTACCAAGCGAGTAGCAAGCTCCAGCCAGTCAGTCTGTACACTGTCGCTGGAGTGGACTGATAGCGGCCGATTTCAGTGCCAAGCATCAAACCAAGTGTCGTCTTCCTTGCGAAAAAAAAGTTGTGATTCTTACATGCAGCATGATGCTACAAAATTGAAGCTCGGTTTGGGCCTAAATCCTGGGTACCGCTCAGGAACGTCATCACAAAGAGTCGAAGACCCAATGCCGTGCTTTCACCATGTGTGCAGGTTCAATTTTTATGTCCTGGGTAGCGTTCATTACAACACTGCGGGGCCCAATTGCCAAATGCCAAAACATTTTCAGAATGGGCCAGCATTGTCATCCACTTGGAGAACAAAATAGTTGAATCACTCATTAGCTGTGCCTCTGTATTGTGGTGTACATTGCAGATGCGACTGGACCCGCTACTGTACCGTGACAATGTGTCCAATTCCCGCAAGCACTATCATCGAGTTGGACAGCGCTGAGGCCACACGGAACAATCTTAGAACGACGAGTTGGTTGGCTAAACCTGTTGGCCGAAGGCACCACCGGAGCCAGCGCATCGCCAGGGCTGTGCGCCTATGCATTAGCTCTGCAGACGAATCACTGAGCAACAAGCGGTCGGATGCTGGAGCGCTATAACAGTACTGCCAGTGACGGAGACGCTATGCTGCTGTGTCTCAGAGAGGATATCACAGAGTCGTGGTGACCACCAGCGATGTGAATAGGAAGATGTTGCAAGCCGCAGCGTGCACAAGCTTTACGCATAGCTCCAGCTTTGGCCGGCCAAGCGTTTGTGGCACAAGAAAGGGTGAGCTAGCTCCAGGCTCACGTAACTAAGGGTGTACCCTAACAGCGTGTGTACACACATATACTTCGTTGCTATGTCTGACGTTGACAAACATCACTACGAACTTCGAGAGTCGTACTGTGGAGCTTGAGCCTTGATTAGGGGCTTTGATTTTTCTCACGATGGTGACCGAAAAAGTTGATTTATTAGTCTATCAGATCCCGTTCCACCTTTCTATAACTCTTTGGTTCTCTTTTTCTGACTTGCAAACCTTAACACACCTTGAGTTGAATCAACTTCTTTTTCTTTTCTGTTCTATAGAGGAGTTCCAATCCCTGAGAAAATCGATGTGTTGAGAGCCGAAATGCTTCATTGATTTAATCATGCGGCCATTGATTTTCGCACCGGCTAGCTGAGACCTGATGATCCCCCCCCCCCCCCCCCCCCCACTACCTCTCTAGTTTCCCTGCTTGAGTGTTGGCGCACTCAACCTGGGCGAGGCACTTATTCGTTGAGCTCACCCTTATACCCTGATTGCTAGTCTTACCGCTGACTTCCCCATGTGGCTTGAACTCCTGTTTTACATGCTAATTTCTTATCAGAATGCTCTGAATGAAAGCCGATTACGGATTACGTGCTCTGCTGTGTTGCCAGCTAGCTCTGCTCCGGTTTGAACAAGTCCCATCGCTGCATACAAACACTGCCCAAAAATGATAGGCAAGCGTATATTTGATGGGTAACCAGGTTATAATACAATGACTATGTTACCGTGTCTTACCGGAGGATGCACCCAGTGTGCTGACAGTGCTCAACGCCGCGGAGGCCGCTGAGAAGCGAGTGTAATACCGAGCCTAACCATGCTTTATCAAGTCTTGCATGTTTGGGACGAAAAACAAGCATGAGTGGCTGATGAAAATAATACAGTGTTTCCCTTCTCCTATCCTACTTGTAGCCTGCTGTATCGCACTTCACAGACTATTACTGTATTAGTATTACCAGCGCCGGCAGTACTGTTTCTGTTTGCATGATTTCTTCACAACTACTGATCGGTGATCCGGACCCAGACTCAGAGTGGGTACGGGTGCATGCACGGTTCAAAATGAAAAAAATGCCAGATGCCAAAATTTAACCAAGTGCACGTGCCGCCCATGCAACCGGTAACCATAGCACTCTGCTCTTGGCACGACGCTCGAAAAGACGCGTTTGTATCGCTTTTTTGATTGAGTTGGATGTGTTTGTGACCAGTCCTGGGTATCCCTTGTTTAGGGAACACTTGACATTGTCTGGTCGCCAAGGTGATCATGGTGATCCGTAGCTGCGCGTAGGCCCGCGTAGCCGCCTTGCCGGCCTCGGCCCTTTTACCTCGGCAGACCGCACCGGAAAAAAGATGACGACGCTGTTTTGGTGAATATTTTCTTCGCGCTCGATGGTCTGTGCGCCAAATTCAAAAAAAGTCGAAAGCCTTTTCTTCTTTCTCGAGTGATCCTTGGTGATTTTTCAAGCTCCCTCGCAGTGTTCAACACCCAATGGCTCAGGAGAAGAAAAGTCGAAAAAGTGTAGTCACTGGCCTCGTTTCAAGTGACAGCAGGAGAAGAAATTTCCTTTCAAAACGGAAGAATGGACTCCTAAAAAAGGTAAGTTGAATGCACATCGCAATTCTGAACTTGCGCAATTTGTCATGAAGACTTCGCTTCATTTGTGTTCTGCAGGCCGCAGAGTTGCATGTTGGAAGTGGAGCCAAGGTTTTGGTCGTGGTGGTCGCTCCTTCTGGAGTTCGACACACGTACAGCTCGCATCCTGTGGACGAGATTTTGCCCTCAACCAGCTCAAGTGTCACAACAGCAAGAGCTGACCCAGTGGCATGCTCTGCAAGAAGCAGTTCATATCCCACCGCGATGAACACCCCAGATTCCACCACGAGCCCCACTGAAGAATGAAAATAAAATTTGGACTGCTGGTCCTTCAAACATCACCTGTTGGATACTTGTTGTGTGCAAACACCATAGTCTGGTATCAATTCACCTCAGAATGTCAACATTGAAATAATAATGTATGCGTCATCAGAAATTGACACTTTCTGGACAACAGAACAATGCTAGTAGTCACAAACATCACACTGAACCACTATGAATAGGAGCACTGGTTTGTACCACATGTACATGCACCTCAGTGTCTCAAATGGAAATAGAGGAAATAGCCGTGATCATGGTGATAGCCGGGCCATGATGCAGAACCACTTGGGGCCGTCAGATTAATTCCTGGACCGAGCCAGCCGGGAAAAAACCCTCGCGCTGACGGACGCAGTAGTGAGGGAAAAAACCGGGTGTATATCCCCAACGGCGACATAGGAGTAACGGATAAGACCACGGCGACTCGAGGTAGCCACGACCCTTGTTCGAGGTACAGCGTCTCTGCACTGGAGTCTCCCACTGCTTGAGCCAGCTGCTCAATGAAGTGGAAAGTATATAAATGGAGAAGACATGGTGTCAATAAGAAGTGTAGCGCTCGCACTTGACAATGCAAAGTGTGTGGCATGACGCAAAATGCACATTGAAGAACTACGGAAGCCAGGACCAGCCCTCCCTTGGCGAGTACACCGACTGTGAAGCAGTCACTGCAAGGAAAGTGCACACACAAGAACAACACAGAAAGCTACTTGAGCAAAATATTGCTCATCCATGCATACTATGGACACAATCGGACTGCATTCGAGCGAGGCAAACATCTTTTCTTTGCATGTTGGAACACTGTACAAGACACATAAAGACACACATGTCTACTAACTGAAATAAATTTATTGCACAGAAAAGTCAATATGAGTGTGTCCGAATGTACCTTTGAATAGACAAAAGCACATAAACCGCACACCAATGGATGAAAGTGGCGAAAGAAATGCAAGGCACAAAGCACTCACCACTCATGGAGGTATATCATCAGCTGCATTGCCGCCGTCAGCCATGCACGAAACCATATCCCGCATCTGGCGCACGACCTTCAACACTGCTGGCTGGGTGGAAGCCTGCTCCAGTTCATCGCACAATGCAGAGGCGGCATTGTTGTCGGGCGCGAGATGTAGTAGCTGCTGGAATTCTTTCCTGAGGGAAGCCATAGTCCGTCTCGTATCACTCCCGTGTTTCTCGGCCTCTTCGGTGGTCAGAAAGTGTGGTGGCTGAGACTGCCTGGACAGCGGATAGGCACCATCTCCAAATAATGTCGCTAGCTGCTTCCGTCTGGCTTTACCCACAGCAGTGAGGTTCACAGCATCCGGCACCAATTCCTCACCAGGACTGAAGGATTGCAGTGGTCTTGAAAACGCTAGCTCACCATTGGGAACCAACATTGTTCTCAGACGCGCACGCCACACCAGAAGTTCCTTAGCATAACCGGGACGGGCTCTCGATTCCGACTTGGGATCTGGCAGCTGTAGGGCACTGAATACTTTGGAGCGGAGCTTCATGAGCTGCTCATGGTTACGGATCACCCGGCGCCACATGTTGGAGTCTTTCTCCCCTGACACCCATGACTTCACATTGGCATTTAGCTCTTCGACGATAGCATCAAGTGCCTGGTGGAGGTCACCCTTTCCTGACCTGCTGAGGAAGAGAGTGCTGTCAATGAGACTTCGCAAATCTGTTGAGAGCGAGAGGCGACGGACTTCCTCGGACATGTCAATCACTTGATATGTTGTGTGATTCCTCGCATGCAGCAATGGAGAGAGAACTCTGCGAGACTCAATGAACAGTGGTACGTCGTTGTGCCGTGCTCCCCGCCGAAGCATGAATAGTGGAAAGCAGTACTGAGTGCACAGCTCCAGCAGCCAGGAATACGTATGATTGTTGGTGAACTGCTTGCACCAAACGAAGAAACCCTCTGCTGAAGGGGTGTTGCTGCCAGATTCCTGGGCGAGTACATATGGCCGCAGAAGTTCGTCAAAGCAGCCATCCGTGAAACGGCTCAGCTCATCGTATGTGCGGTGGTGGTCTTTGGCTTTGAAGGCCCAATCCAATTGCTTAGGAGAAGTATATCCCTGGCTAATAGCGAACTCCTTATAGGCAAATGGCCACAGAGACTTGACAATGCACTGGATGATGTTCATCTCCCAGTGCAAGCCACCTGAAATGGGTAGTACCCAATCAAACTCCCCATCAGGAATGTTTGTTGGGGGCATCAATTCACCCTTCTCAACCAGATCATCTAAAAACTTCCTCAGCCTCTCACGTAACGTACTCATGTTCCCTGTTACACCCAAGCCCCTTGTACTGCATGCACTCTTCAGGTCAGCCTTCGACATTGAGTCGACATGCAATATTCCTGCTTCATGGTTAGCCAATTTGGCTGCATCACGCCTTGCCTCCTCCATCACAGTCAATATGAGGGAGTACGGCAAGCCGTCACACACAACAGTGAGCCATTCCCTCACCCCCTCGTCACCTACACATTGTTTTACCCTTGCACGCTTCCCAACATCGCGCAATACAATGCGAACAGCTTCATGGGAGTTGGGGTTGACAAAAATGGGCTCTAGAAACCCAACATCTGCCGGGGACACAAGGGGCACATCTTCACCACTGGTCTTTGAGGACACTCTGGTTAACGAAACACCGGTACTGCTGTCCACATGCGGTACATACACAAACTCGGTGCCTGACTTTAGTGTGCCTGGCTTGGTGACTTTGATGTGCTCGGTCGACACCACTGATTTGCCTTGGTCAGCTTGCAATGCCTGCCTAACATTTACCCTGCATGTCGCATTGGGACACAAATGCAGCCTGCGCTCCATCTGTGTGCAACATTTAGGGCAGATCAGGTACCGTCTTTCTCGTTCCAATGATGCAAGATGGCTATCAACTGGGTCAGCTGATAGCCTCTGCTCAGACACAAGAGCTTCAATCCTTTTGTTCATGAAACTCAGCAAGTGTGGCTTAATCAAAGATTCTTGATCTAGAGGATCCGGTACCTGATCTATTGCACATTGAATCTCAGTGACAGTTGGAAATTTCCAATTTCGGAAATGGAAATCTCCCTTTTCTTGGGAAGGAACATGGGAATGACGGGCATAGACAACATTGGTCAGAACCTCATACGTGGAACGATTGCTGCCACGGGAGAGGTACGACTTAAGTTGTCGTTGCTCATTGTCAAACCCAACACTCACGAACCCTTCAGGAACTTGCAGCTCGCTACCACCCAACCCAGCCAACCAATCTTTCACGAGCTTATAACTCCCCCCCGACCCTAGGTGACCAAAAATGTCGAGGGTTGTCTTGCTTTGGGTGATGCTGTACACTATCGCCTGGAGCAAAACATGGAATTCTGCACAGTAATTCAAGTTAGCAGCAGCATAGAGAGACTCCATGGCTTGCGCTTGAAGAACTGTGCGGCGGTCGGCAACGGAGAAGTCAAGTGCAAACGTGCTGGAGGTCATGCCCGTCACAAACGTCTCAACAAACTTGTT